GTGGGACGCGCAGGCCCGGTAGCGGGTGCCACCCCGCCAGAGGCGGGGTAAGGTGCCACTGCGGGGAGCCGGTCCCAGACAGGGCCACCGAGGCCGCGGGGGGCGAGGACGGGCCGAGGGGAAGGCGAAGGCGGACCGAGAGGGGGAGGACAGCGGCCACACTCTGGCGAGGCCGAGCCCCCCCGACCGATGTGCTAGGCGCCCAGTGCAGGAAAGCCAGTGAAGAAGGGGACCGCCACGAGGGCGCGCAGGCAAGGCGAGGCAGAGGCCCGAGGCGTGGCGCCCCGCGGTGGGGCAGGACGGGAGAAGAGCGCGGGGACGTGGGGAGCGAGCGCAGAGACGGAGGCGGGCCGACAGGGAAAAGTGGACGTGGCGGCGGCCCCCAGCAGCTGGGGAATGCGATGCACCACGCGGGCCCAGACGCGGGAGGGGTTGGCGGAGCAGGGGCAGAGGGAAGCTGGTGATCTGGACAAGGACATCCGCAGAGGCAGCGGGGGGGGGGGGGGAGGGCGACACCACGGCGGGGAGGGCCCGCAGGCCCGCTCGGCAGCAGCGGGACGGAGGGCACGTGCCCATCCGCTCCTGGACGCCTGGGCCCGGAACCCGGTCCCACCGTGGCTACCCGCAGCCGGCGGGAGACACAACCCACCTGCAACATGCCTTAACCCGGGCACCGGCTCGCCCACCCACGGCACGGGCGCCACGGGGACAGCACCGCAGACAGGCACACCCACCAGGCCGACGCCGGCCATGCCATCCCAGCCGGCATCTCTACCGCTCCTTCCTCCTCTCTCGTGCCCCCTCGCCAGCTCACCCGTCCGCAGCCGCGGGAAACACCGGGATGGGGGGAAGGTCCTCACCGGCACAGCCGCCCCGGGAACGGGCGGGCCCCTCCTCCCAGGCCGACCCCGACGTGCAAGAGCGACCACACGGGGACAGACAGACAGCCACGACGACGCGGGAAAGACGACGAGGAGGAGGAGCTCCGAGGGACCGCGGCGCCGGCAACCCCAGCAGATCGCGGAAGGCCACCCTCGTGCTGAGCTCGCCCCGCGCGCACGCACGTGCGTCAGTGCTCTTTCCATTAATGATCCTTCCGCAGGTTCACCTACAGAAACCTTGTTACGACTTTTACTTCCTCTAGATAGTTAAGTTTGACCTTCTTCTCAGCACTCCGCCAGGGCCGTGGGCCGACTCCGGCGGGGCCTATCTGAGGGCCTCACTAAACCATCCAATCGGTAGTAGCGACGGGCGGTGTGTACAAAGGGCAGGGACTTAATCAACGCAAGCTTATGACCCGCACTTACTGGGAATTCCTCGTTCATGGGGAATAATTGCAATCCCCGATCCCCATCACGAATGGGGTTCAACGGGTTACCCGCGCCTGCCGGCGTAGGGTAGGCACACGCTGAGCCAGTCAGTGTAGCGCACGTGCAGCCGCGGACATCTAACGGCATCACAGACCTGTTATTGCTCAATCTCGGGTGGCTGAACGCCACTTGTGCCTCTAAGAAGTTGGGGGACGCCGACCGCTCGGGGGTCGCATAACTAGTTAGCATGCCAGAGTCTCGTTCGTTATCGGAATTAACCAGACAAATCGCTCCACCAACTAAGAACGGCCATGTACCACCACCCATGGAATCGAGAAAGAGCTATCAATCTGTCAATCCTGTCAGTGTCCGGGCCGGGTGAGGTTTCCTGTGTTGAGTCAAATTAAGCCCCAGGCTCCACTCCTGGTGGTGCCCTTCCGTCAATTCCTTTAAGTTTCAGCTTTGCAACCATACTCCCCCCGGAACCCAAAGACTTTGGTTTCCCAGAAGCTGCCCGGGAATAACGCCGCCGCATCGCCAGTCGGCATTGTTTATGGTCGGAACTACAACGGTATCTGATCGTCTTCGAACCTCTGACTTTCGTTCTTGATTAATGAAAATATTCTTGGCAAATGCTTTTGCTCTGGTCCGTCTTGTGCTGGTCCAAGAATTTCACCTCTAGCGGCGCAATACGAATGCCCCCGGCCGTCCCTCTTAATCATGGCCTCAGTTCCGAAAACCAACAAAATAGAACCGCGGTCCTATTCCATTATTCCTAGCTGTGGTATCCAGGCGGCTCAGGTCTGCTTTGAACACTCTAATTTTTTCAAAGTAAACGCTTCGGGCCCAGCGGGACACTCAGCTAAGAGCATCGAGGGGGCGCCGAGAGGCAAGGGGCAGGGACGGGCGGTGACTCGCCTCGGGGCGGACCGCCCGCCCGCTCCCAAGATCCAACTACGAGCTTTTTAACTGCAGCAACTTTAATATACGCTATTGGAGCTGGAATTACCACGGCTGCTGGCACCAGACTTGCCCTCCAATGGATCCTCGCGAAAGGATTTAAAGTGGACTCATTCCAATTACAGGGCCTCGAAAGAGTCCTGTATTGTTATTTTTCGTCACTACCTCCCCGGGTCAGGAGTGGGTAATTTGCGCGCCTGCTACCTTCCTTGGATGTGGTAGCTGTTTCTCAGGCTCCCTCTCTGGAATCGAACCCTGATTCCCCGTCACCCGTTGTCACCATGGTAGGCACGGCAACTACCATCAAAAGTTGATAGGGCAGACGTTCGAATGGGTCATCGCCACCACGGGGGGCGTGCGATCGGCCAGAGGATATCTAGAGTCACCAAAGCCGCCATCGCCCGCCCCCCGGCCGGAGCCGGGAGGGAGCTTACCGGGTTGGTTTTGATCTGATAAATGCATGCATTCCCCCCCCCCGGGAGGGGTTGAGCACCCGTCGGGATGTATTAGCTCTAGAATTACCACAGTTATCCAAGTAGGAGAGGAGCGAGCTACCAAAGGAACCATAACTGATTTAATGAGCCATTCGCAGTTTCACTGTATCGGCAGTGCATACTTGGATATGCATGGCTTAATCTTTGAGACAAGCATATGCTACTGGCAGGATCAACCAGGTAGGGGAGCGCGGCAAGCCTGGAGGGCCTGGGAACCTCCCCCGCTCCTCCTCCTCCCTCCGGAGACGGGGGGCGGGTGGGGTGGGGAAGTGGGGGAACAGAGGACACCGGGGCTGGCAAGCGCGCTGGAACGTGCCGCCAGGTGGCTGACCGCTGGCACGTGGCAAATCCGGGCGAGCGAGGGGAGAGAGAGAGCGACACCGGCGAGTGACAACGGGGGGCTCTCCTCCTCACCTCCCCCGACGCGCGTCGTCGCAGGCCGACAGAACGGAGCGCCCAGGCGGCACGGCCGCACGGTGCCCACACACCGCGAACCCGACCCCACAACCCCCCCACCTCTTTCCCGACGGGGTGGGCAGAAGGAGCTGAGAGGGAACACGGGCAAACCAGGGTATCCATCTGTCTCTCCACGGGGACCAGACGTCAACGAGCGTGAGCGAGGAGAGGGCAGAACCCAAACCCTCTCTCCCGGCCAGCGGGGGATGGCGAGGAGAAGACGGGGAGCCAACGAGGGGGAGCGAGGGCGGCGAGGTGGATCCCGGGTCGCCGCACACCAGAACGACCGGGCAGGCCTGACTGGCCCGAGAGCACACACGAGGTTGGGCGTGGAGTGGGCGCAGGAAGGGAGGGAGGCGCGGACCTTGATCCGGGAGACCGATGCCACCGACCAGCGAAAGCCGGCAGTGACCGGGAAGACCAACACGGGTGGGCCAAGCCGGCCACCAACTAGACCCAACTGCCACCATCCAGGATGGCGGCGCTGGCACATGGGCGCAAGCAGGCCACCGCGCGGTGATGAGCAGTGAGAGGAAGAGCACGGAGAGGGCAGAGGATCCCGTGGCCAGGGGGGGAAGGGCACCGCACCGCACCCAAGCGCAAGGGCACCGCATCACCGACACCCCGCCTGCTGGCCCGGCGGGCACAGGAGCGGCGGCGCGCACACACGGACGGGGAGGAGCGCAAGGCCCCTTCTCCGCCCGGAGGCGGCGCATCGAAGTCCACGGTCCAGCTGGCCAACCGGCCGGGTCGCGTGTGGCACACACCCGAGCGGCCATAAAGCCAGGGGCGACACACACAACGCAACGCACACCACATGGCCACGGGGTTTTTCTCCACTTCCCTCAGAAGCCGGCCCGAATTCACTCGCTCGCACAGATGTGGGGGCGAGCACACAACGACCCTCGCCACCGCGGACTGGCCGTGCCGGCAGGGGGTCGGGGGTCTGCGGCGACGACCCATCGACGACAGGTCACCGGTAAACGACGGCAGCCGGAGGCGGAGGCAGGGACCCCGGGAGGTGGGCGACACCAAACCCAACGCACGCGAGCACACTCACACGCAGACACCGCCTGCACAGAGCAGACAGGGCCAGGCACGGGAACCAGGGTTGCGCCAGGCACGCGGCGGAGACATGCCAAGAGAGAGCACAACACCCCGGATCTGGGACAGGGGCGGGGACGAAGCCACATGGCTCCAGAAGGAAGAGACGATGAGGGCAAGCCTACGCAGGGTGAAGCATGAGGGAGGCGCAGGAACCCGGGACAACCGCGCAGGCACGCGAGGCGGCGCCCAGCGGGAGGAGGCACGTGACGCCGGCTTCGGGCCCTCGGACGGCCAACTCGGCCCTCGGACGGCGGGAATCTCACCACCATCGCCCCCGTGGCGTACCGGTAGTCCCGCTGGCAGGAGCCCTCACGTCATGAGCAAAACCAATCCGGGAAGACCCTTCAAAAGCCACAGCCACCGCGATGACGTGCCTCCCCCACAACGGGAGAGCAGCCTCACGAGCTGAGCGCCGTCTCCCCCCCCAAGAGAACACCACACAACGCCCAACTCGACCGTCCGCCGGTGGCCGGCCACCAGGCCAAACCTGTGAGGATAGCAGAAGGCTGATGCGGGTGAGGAGGGCATGCCGGAAGCACAACAAGAAGAGCAGTGGGAGGGTCACCGGGTCGGGTCACCGGGGTGAGAGGCGAGTGAGCAAGCGGCCACCCCCTCACACGGGCGAGTGGCGCAGCCGCAGACCAACGGGGAGGTGAGACCTTTCCGGGCACAGCTGGCACGCCAGGTAAACGAACGCGGGATCTCACCACTCCCAACTCCGGGGCGGTCCCGCGCAATGCCTGGGACACCGAGCCGGCCGACCAGCGGACCGGAAACCCCCACCGTGGCAGCGGCGGGCCCCCCCAAAAGAGGCCCGAGAGGGAACAGGCAGCTCGCACACACCTCAAAGACCCCGTGAACGTCCCCGGAGCCGCCTGCGCCAGCAGGGCCCCACCGCATCCATCCACACTGCCGGGCACAGCACCCATCATCGACCGCCTCTTTTTCGGCCGCGTGAGCAAGGGCCCACACACACCGGGATCCTCAGCTCCAGAGGGCCAGAACCCCCCTGAGCGGCACACCACCACGGGCACAGAGGCCCCGGAACACCGCGGGGCCCAGCGCCCGCACAGCACCATCATCACCACCGGGCGGCGGCCCACACAGACGCTCGGGAACAGCGTTGCCAGGGGCCGGAGGGGGAGGGGGACGAGACCCCCAAAAACCCCACGGCACCCCAAGCACGAGGCCGGGAAGCCACACACCAGGCGCCCTCGCATCGTGGCCCGGCATGGGCTCCAGGCTCCGCCACTCGACACACTGCATGCGAGGCAGGGGCGGGGACGGATCGGGAACGTCCTCCACTCACCACACCAGATGACGGCCAGGGAGAGGCCCCGCGGGACCCTCCCCCAGCTCGGAGGGGGTAGGCGCAGACACGCAGTTACTGACGTGGGCAGCCACTAACGCTCAAAAGCGGGACAGGGAGTGGCAGGGCCGCGGGAGCCCATCGGGTGCGGGCCCCCACCAACCCAGCAGCGCACGCCGCTTCCCGAATGAGGATCGCTAGAGAACCTCTCCTCACTCTGAGGGTGGCCCGCACCCAACCCCGACGGGAACCCCGCCGGGACCAGCACACATCAGAGGCGTCCATCCTTCCCACCACGGGGGCAGGGAGGGGTGGAGCAGGGGGGTTCTGCGGCAGCAGCAACACCAACCCTGGTCAGTCGGCCTTGCCGTGCGGGGCCAGAGCAAAGTCGCGCACACGGGCGGAAAGCCCGCACAGGCCCGGCTCGCCTCCCACTGCAACATCTAAGGTCCCCCGGTGCAATAAAAGCCAGGTGACACGGCAGGGAAGACAAGCCAGGACCAGGGCGGCAGCTCATGCTGGGAAGCCACCACCCAGCGCAACAAGGGAAGAGCGCTCCTCTGGGGAACCGCCTCGACCCCCCCAGCAGAGATGTCAACCTCAACGGTAACTTCTCACTCACACAAGCCCCACGAACCCAAGGACGGCCGGGACACACCACGGGCAGCAGGCTGGCACAAGGCAGCAGACAATGCCAGGATCCGGAACGACACAGCCACTCAGCCTCAGACACCTGAGAGAACCGACCGGGAGCGTTCCGGGAGCACTGCAAGAGGGCAGAGCGCGAGGCGCGGCTTTTCACACCACACAGCATGGGCAAGCACGGAGCACCGACCCTCCCTCTCTGCGGAGAGAGCCGACCCCCGTGCCAATAAGGAGTCACGGGAAGAGAGGAGCAAGATCAGGGCGACCCCCTCATCCAGCGTGTACAAGTCCCGGACCTCCCGGCGAGGGCAGGGAGAGCGCAGCCGGACCCGGTTGCCGCACCCCTGCCTCCCCGCATACCACCGGCGCCAGCATGGTGGGACGGTGAGGGCAGGGGCCCACGGGCAGAAAGAGAAGAGCGTTCCCATTCACCATGAATGTCCGTCCCTCGCCTGGCGCAGCTTAGGCCCGGGCCCAAAGGAGATCGCAACATCACCACATCAATCACACCGAGGGGGTGGAGAAGACAGCCACACGGCACTCGGGAGGCGGTGGCCCAGGAAGCTCAGCTCCTGAGAGGGGCCAACAGCCTGGGATAAAAGCGTAGCAGGACAGACACCCTTTCGTGAGTAACGAGCGAGGTAAAAAGAAAAAAGAAAAAAAAAACGAAAAAAAGAAATGAAAAAATACCACGGGCTTAAACGTCTCTGGCACTCGGGATAACCAGGACACCTCTGCCGGGCACAGGACCGAAGAAGCTAGAAAGGGAGAAAAGAAAAAAAAGAAAAAAAAAACCACGGACAGCGCTTAGGAGTAGCGCAGCTCAGCGGCCGACCAGGCCTGCCATCGGGAAGCGGCAGGTCGGGGGAGGTGGAGAGCTAGGGGCAATAGGAGAAAGAAAAAAAAAAGAGCCAGGGAGGTCGGGCGTGCCCAACTGCAGAACGGGGATGCCGCACACGCACAGGCAAGGCAGGACTCGCCCCCCGCCTTTTCCTCCTCAAGCCAGCCACGGCGAGGAAAGCACACCGCGCGGGCCTACCTACGCACCCCAGGCAACCAACCACTCTCCTCCTCGGCGTGCCGAGGCAAGGGCCAGAATCCGGCACCGGGAGCCGGGGAGAGATCAAGGACGACGGGACTCACTCAGCCACCAACCACCAACCAACCACCACCACACCCACGAGCCACCACAGGGGCACAGGGCCTGCTCAGGGCAGCGGGAGCTCAGGGTGCGGGGGGAAGGACAGGGGGACCCGGACCGGGAAGAGACGGGAAAGGCCCGGCACACAGCATCCGAGAGAGCCCCCAAAGACCTGCTGACAGCCACTGGGACACAGCATGCCAGCACCCTCCTGCAGGTACAAAATCCTCACGTCACCATGCCAAAACCAGGTCCCCAACACGTCCCCAACAGAGCCAGCACGCACACACCCGGGACTCCCGGGCTCGGGTCCCCGACTCCCGGGGTGCTCCCTCTGCCTCGAGTTTTCCCCTACGCAGGGCCCACAGGGCAAGTCCACGCAGATGGTAGGTAGGTCCCGGCCCCGAGGCTCGCCTCGGCCGTGCCCAAGGCTCCTCCCGCCGGAGAGGTCTGTCCTCCGGCCGCCGGGGCCATGGAGGAAGGCCACACAGGGCCGGCGACCCAGGCCCTCGCACCCGGCATGCGCCAAGCTCTCACTCGGAGGTGACTCCGGGGAGGGGGAGGTCCGAGTCCGGGCCGGGACCGGCCCCACCACCTATCCGCTCACCCAGGGACCCTCTCCCCCGACTCCCGAGACGTCCCTCGTACTCTCCTTTTTTCGCCCTCAAAGACCAGAGTCCAGGGAGGGGAGGAGGACAAGGCCTCGGGCCCAGACGAAACTACTGGTCGACCCGACAAAGCTGCCACCCCCGCACAGACCGGGCACGGAAGAGAGAGCGGCAACGCATGGCCCTACCCCGCGCTCGCCTGCGGGCGCAAAGTCCGACAGAACAGCCGCCCCGGTCCCACCATCTGCCTGCCCGTCTTTTTTTTTTTTGGGGGGGGGGGTTGTTTGTACGTTTTGTTTTCTTTTTCCCCCAGGTGGAAACCAGAAAGGAAAAAAAAGAAACTCCCAAAGATGGGTTGGCTCCAGCAAGAGAGGAGCCCTCGGGAGGCACCCCACTCACTTGTGAAAGTCCGCCGCTCGCCCTCCCCACAACACACTCCCTCCCCCCGCCCCCACTCGCCACCCCTCACAGGCAGGGAAAGAGCAGGGGGAAGACCAGAGAGAGGTTTCTTCTAACACACAGAGAGTAGGTACGTCACACACACAGGTCTGGAAAACCACGGTGACAGTGCAATGGGAAGCGTGAGTCCACTCATCCATCACTGAATGACAGGAAAGCCAAATGAGAGCCACTGGCTGGGTGGGGAAGGAAGGGGAGGTGGCACCCGTGTGTCGCTTATCCCCGGGCACCACACCGGACGGAACGACCTTCTCACCAGTTCGTACTCTAGCCTGTCCAGACAGCTAGCCTTTTCTAATAGGCTCTGCCACTCTCTCTGAAGCAGGATTCGGGGCATGAGGCGATGAATCTAAACCCTACACACAGGCGTTGGAGGGTAGAGGCATCATCACTCACATGCCTGTGGTGGAGGACCTGGACCTGAGCGTGGCGGTGCACAGTGTGTGTGTGCGGGGCTGGGGGGAGGGCAGGTAGGGAACCCTAGGAGGAAAGACAGGGAGAGACGAGGGGCCCCGGCCCAAACAGAGTGGAGGCCCAAACAGAGTGGAGGCATCAGAGGGGCGATCCTATCTCCCGGGGGCGAAGCACGGTTAGAACCCACAGGCCCGGAGGGCGTACTTCTCTTTGGAGTTCGCACTGGGAACATACGCAGGCACAAGTGCCCCAGCACACACATCGCATCACAGATGGGTAGAGAGGCAGAGCCAGGGAATCAGGCATGGCAAACACTCTATTCCGTCAACACACACACACACACACGTTACGGAGTGTGTACAATATCCACAAGGTAAAAGTTTATTCATCTGTTCCCCAAAGAATAAGAATAAGATTATGTCAGTTACAGGGAAGTAGATCGATGGACTAGGAGCGCGCGGGGGGTGGGGGGTGGGGGGCTGCCGGCGGCGGAGAAGGACCTAGAACAGGTGATGCCAGGGGAAGACAGACCGGTGGAAAGACAGACCGACCTACCGACCGACCGACCGACCAACGGCACGACACGTGTTTTCCCTCCTATGTGGATGCTAGACCTAAACTATAACTGGACATGGTAAGCTACACAGCACTCCGGGCAAACAGAGTGTGTGTGCCCCCATGTGTGTGACACACATACAGTCCTTTTGTCAGAAGGTGTAACTTCTCTGAGCATTTAAGATATTGCAGAGAAGACATAAGACGTAATATCCATAAGTGGCATGACTGTGAAGGTATTATAACAACCGGACATGTTAGGATTAAAGCTGGAATTAGGAGGACAGAAACGTACCTGTCCTAACGCTTTTGGTCATTATTACAAGTATATTTGGTTTAGGATCTTTCAAAACACATTGATTTATCCTTCTGGACACGATGGTCTATGACCACACTAGTAAATAGCCACTTCAAAGCCAGATCATCGGTTGGATACGTTTCAATTGGTTTATATTGCATCCTCCAATATTTTTTTCTTCTTTTTATTCTATCTTCTCGCTAAAGATCCAGTGGTATAAAGCTACTTTTATTCTCTTAATATTCCATAACTGAAGTGATCTGCTTTGTTTTGCAGCTTTCTCAGCTTAACTCACTGAGGCCTATTTAGTCACACATGATGAGAGGTCCAAAAACATCTTTGGGGCCACGGATGGCTTTTGTAAAGTCCATTTGGGGAAATAGCAAATATAATCTACCATGTCCTAAAATGTAACAGATTATCTCTATGGGACCGATAGAAATATCCAGATGTGCCCTGTCAACAGCCAGTTATTTTAATTTACTTAAGGGAAATCAAGTGAATAAAAGTCTATATAGTTCAAGAAATTTTATTCTGATACCTATATAAAAAGTTTACCTGAGTAGGTGAGGACATTGGTTTATATTGCAAGTGATTCTAGAGAAGACAGAGAAAAGAGAATAGAGGGGGATTGTCCCTTGCTGTTGGGTGTGGGGTGGGGTGGAGAAAATAAGGGAAAAAGAAGGCCACAGATTGGATTATTAGAGTGAAAAACCATGGTGAAAATGGAATGGGAAGCAAGTTTACTCACCAATCATGTAATCATTGTCCTAGTTCTCCAGACAGGTTGTAATCTTCTTTTCAGTACTGGTGCTCCAGCCACTCTAGAAAGCATACATGTAAGCTTCCACTAGCGCTAGACTTTCCGTACTAGTTGTAGTCTTGCGCGTCTTTTCACAACCCAGCTTCTCAATGCCATAATAACAGATAACTGGGGAGCCACATTAAAAAAATAGCCTTCCATGGGCTGGGAAGGCGGCTCATTGGTAGAGCTCTTGCCTTGCATGCCTGAGGCCCTGGGTTCGATTCCTCAGCACCACATAAGCAAAAAGAAAAAAGCTTGGAGTGGCGCTGTGGCTCAAGTGGTACAGTGCTAGCCTTGAGTTGAAGAGCTGAGGGACAGCATCCAGGCCCAGAGTTCAGGTCCCGTGACCGGAACCTCCCCCCCACAAAAAAAATAGCCTCCCAGGAAATACAGGAGCCATTTAGTCAGCTTGCCCCACCCACACCCAGAAGGGAAGATAGAGGGTGGGTGTTGGCCTAGTAGGGAGGGAGAGTTCCACAGGTAACTGAGATAACTTTTGTTTTGTAAATGTAGTCATGGCAACGACTTAGTTGCAGTGTTGCTTAGGACCTTTTAGAAGAAACTGGAATTCCAAGAAGAGAAGGACTGTTATCAGGAAATATAGGCAGGAAGCCTCTCAGAGAACTACCTTTTGCAAAGGCCAAGGCCTAAGTTAATGAGTGCGTAAGATAAGAACACTGCAAGAAAGCAATCTTAAGGTAGTGTTCTATACAGAATATATTAATAGACTTGAAAAATACAAGAAATATCACATGGAAATGATTCATACAAAACAAAAAATTGAAATGAATTCTTTATTTCTTCTTTTCTTCCTTACCTTTTTTTTTTTTTTGGATGTGAGGATTGAGCTCAGTGCCTGGGTGTTGATATTTACATTTTATTTTTTCCCCAAGGCAGCTACTAGTATACATTTTTGGGCAACAGCTCCACATGTGGTTTCCTGGGGAATCCTTAATCTCACAGTAGACTAAAAGACTACCCTGTTAGGCCAGCTTGGAAACGACCCTTAGATTTCTCTCAGCCTTCTAAGTAGCTGTGGGTTACAGAGATGAGCCAGCAGCATAAGGCTAATGGGGCTCATTTTGTACAGGGGAAATTGTCTTTGATTTGGAACTGGAAAGCTGTGCTATGTATCTATAACAACTGTAGTTTCAGGTCTGTTGAAGGTTTCCTCAGGGCTGATTAGTACTGTGTAATGCAGGACCACAAGGCGGGCAGAATCACATGAGGCGGCACTTTATGGTGCCAGTAAAATCAAGAAGCTCTCACTACCCGCCAAGTGTGATGGGTATTCCTTCCTTTCCCTGCCCTTGCTCAGAACAATAGAACGACAGTGAGCAAACTCCATCTAGTGTCCACTTTCTGAAAATACCATGCTTGTGAATTCCAGTTTCCTCTCATGAAATGAATGAATCAAGGAAGGGTGGGGGTGGGGCACTGTAGGAATTGAGATTAAAAATAATCATTGCAGGCACCATGAGACCAAAGTTTGAATTATAAGATTCTAAGGTATTGTATGAAAAAGACAAGAGTTTTGGCTCAAGGAATTAGAAATAGAAAAGAAAATGCAATCTGTGACTAAACAGGAGAGAAAATGAGAAAATATTGGTTTGAGTTTTGAATGTGATTGGTTAATTCTATTTTGAATGGTGAAGGCCAATACTCCATTTTAACTCCAGCTAAACTATTGTATTGTAAATCTTTTTTTTTGTGTCGGTCGTGGGACTTGAACTCTGGGCCTGGGAGCTGTCCCTCAGCTCTTCAGCTCAAGGCGAGCGCTCTACCACTTGAGCTACAGCGCCACTTCCGGTTTTCTGGTGGTTTATTGGAGATAGGCGTCTCAAGGTCTCTCCTGCCCGGGCTGGCTTTGAACTGCGATCCTCAGATCTCAGCATCCTGAGTAGCTAGGATTATAGGCCTGAGCCAGCAGCGCCCGGCTTGTAAATCTTTTAACTTATGCTTCTGTAAAAATTACAAACAGATGCTAACCCTCATAAAGGACACATTGTTAATTCCTCCAAGGGACAATCTGTCTTTATCTCTTTCTTTACTGTGTGGCTACACCTAAGCGTCTGGGGCACTATCACAGAACGTTTTATTTATATACGACTAGTTTTCTACCAGTTTTGAGCCACAGCACCATTTATGGGTGTCTCCCGCCAATGGTGGCTTTGAATCATGATCCTCCGATGTCTCTCAGCCATCTCAGTACCTAGGATTATAGGCTTAAGCCATAAGCACCCAGCTCAGAGACTAATTATGTTTACAGCAAAATGTACATTTGGAACTGAGAAGCTACAGTATCTAAATGATTGAGGTCGCAGCTCTACTACAGATTTCCTCAGGGTGAATTAGTATTATATTATGCAAGAGTGAAAACTGGCAGATATCAGTACTGTCCTGTGTGCTTCAGTCAGGCAGAACACGGTGCAACCAAGGTATGGTGCCAGGATAATCACTGATATGCCAGAGTCCAGCCATCACCAACGTTCTTCTCCCTCTCTAGGCAATGTTATGGTGAGCACTCGCCACCTACTGTCCATTTTCTGCAACTACCCAGGTTAGGAATTCCAGTTGTCTGACAGGAAATAAGCCAGAGAATTCTTGTGGGTCCAAAGGTGGGGTAAAACGCAGGGCACTGTAGGAATGCAACAGAGTTCCACAGAGGTGCAACCACAGAACTCAGTCCAAGATTTGATTTGTCTTCTGGGCTGCCTGACACTCTCCACAGATTATTCAAAGCAGTGGTATTGGTACCAAGCTAGGTAGCAGAGCCAGAAAACAAGCAGTTCCCTCTCCCCCTTAGCCAACCTCCCCTCACACTTCACAGAGAATAAGAAATGGAGGAAATAAAGGGAAAGAGGGGGCAATATGGGTTATAGATTGAGGTATGAAAAGCCACTTCAGTTACCTTAAACTGACATTTAATATGCCTAAATAATAGCAATGATCTTCACATAGTGATGACATATGATTTCAAATTAATTTATTGTCATATGATTTCGTGAAATTTTATCTCTTGAGAATACCGATGGAGAGAAAAGGTAAGGATAAGGAAAATCTCTCTAACCTTATCGCTTCTGGCATAAACATTTAACATGTTCTGGAAAGGAATTACTAGAAAATACAGTACATTTCCAACAGAGAAAGAATTACACTATAAGTTGAAGATATGGCATCGTTGAATGCACAGCATTAATAATGCATGCATGATGCCTAGGTTTGAGATAAAGACATACTAATGAAATGTTACACATACAGTTTGTATACACAAACTGTATACACCTAATAATAGGATATCAAAATATATTCAACAAATACTGCCACAGACATGGTTTGGGGATTGATGAGGAAGGAGAGAAATAAATAGAACAAATAAGGGCTGGGAAGATGGCTCAGTGGTAGAGCGCTTGCCTTGCATGCCTGAGGCCCTGGGTTCCATTCCTCAGCACCACATAAGCAAAATGAAAAAAGACGGAAGTGGCGCTGTGGCTAAAGTGTTAGAGCGCTAGCCTTGAGCTGAAGAGCTGAGGGACAGCGCCCAGGCCCAGAGTTCAGGCCCCACAACCGGCCCCCGGCCCCCCAAAAAAGAGAAAAAGTCAGCCTGCCATTACATCACACCTGATCAACAATAGTACATAAGGCTGAGTAAGGCTGACCCAAAATCCTTCTTAACTTCAAATCACATGACTTTTCTTCACTCATTGCCTTTGCAATAAAACAGAGGCCAGAGGATCCATGCTAGTGCAGACTCTGACATCAGGTCACAAGAAGACAGACAGGTAGAGAAATCTGAATCCCACCTTGCTTTTGTCTCATTCCTTTTCACTGTGAAAGGGCCTTACATGCCTTCTCCTGGCTCTAGCTACAGTCCTTTTCTCCCTCTCAAGGACCAGCTGCAAGAGCACACTGAAAAGGCTGTGGGTCTTTCCTCAACATGACCTCCTCAACAGGACCATTAATTGACCCCTACTAAGCATGCTGTGATTTTCAAAATCAATGACTACTTAGATAAATTTAAAGTGCCAATAAGATAGTAAAGAATTTCTAAATATAGTGATACAATACTTAGTAGTTCATGAGTTATGACAAAGCAAACCAAAATCTGTTTTTATTTAATTGACATGCTTGTGTTTGGCTTTGCCACTCATGCTTTAGGTTGACCTTGAAGTATGGGATGTCTACAATTATAATTGTTTTTAAGGTGGAGGTATAGCTCATCAGTAGAGAATCTAACTAAGGTCCTGTTAGTAAAATGAGTCCCTTCCCATAGCTTTAGTCCATTCCCTCCCTTCTCCACAGCTTAACATACTCCCTTCCTAAGCAACGCTAGGCCCACATAGTAAAGGCAGTACATAATCAACTTCCAACCCCCTTTACCTTGGGATGGCACTTCTCTGGGACCGATACCACCATATAAGGCAACAAGAACCCTTAGGGTGAACTTCAGGTTTGGGCAGTTGCAGGACCCTTATCTACTAGGTGGATAGGAGGCATAAATCCTAGTCTGACATGATGAAGTCCCTGGCCCACATGTGGACACCAGGGTCTCCACCTCCTAGCACCTTCTAGCACCTCCTACACCTCCTAGGTTATATAGGTCACCCCAAAAAATAACCGGTGCTTCTTCTCATTCCTCCCTTGGGAGAAGGAGTCTTGCAGGCACTCTTTCCCCACCAATAAACCTTTCTTTGTTCTCTGTACCTTGCTGTCTGCATGGTTATCTGGCAAAGTATACTTAATATTAATTTTGCCATCAGTTCCTTTCCAAACACTGGAAAACCAAAAAACCAGACATCTATTTCTATATATGTGTACATATATATGAAGGCATGAAAAGGCCAACAAGTGTATTATCAGTCATTACTTCATTTACAAAGAAATGAAAGCACAGCACAAATACATCCACGAATCTCTCCTTTAAAAACAGCTTTGATGTTCTACACAATCCATGCAGATTTATGAAAAATACATATTTTAACATGTACCCTTTCATGTTCCTGTCCAAAAACGAATCTATTTGTCAGCGTGAAGAATGACAACATGTACTATCTGACCGGGCACTAGGCAACCTAATTTTTATTTCCTATATATCCCAAACTTAAATCTACCAGGAAGTTATATTGCACCACCACCACCACCACCACAAAAGCTTAGATTTTCTCTGAAACACAGAATCACATTAAAAATTACCTTACAATTTTTCCAAACTTCAGTAGGTGGTATAAATGCTGCATGAGTAACAAGCTGGCTATACATAAACTGAGGCCCCGGTGGGGCTTTTGTGTATTTCCTTCAACACTAGTTCCTGAAGCCCAGGGATTCCATTCAATGGTAATGCTCACGGGTTCTGGTCTCCATGGTGATTGGACCCTGCATTCCCTCACATCTGGGTCTGCATTCCCGGTGAGCCAATCTGTGCGACCAAGCCGCATCTACTGACCCAAGGAGAAGCCGATTCGCTGAAAAGCCTGGGCTCCCGCAGGTTGCATAGACCTGTAGTGAATAAAGCCTCACACCATCGTGCTCTCGCTTGCACACTGGCGGCACCGGGGTGCGGAGCCTGGCCTGGTGCTTGCGGGGAAGGGTGGCCTCTGGGCTCGGGGTAGCGGGATCGTGAACTTGGCTGGCTCATGTCTGAGCACAGATCCTGGTCTAATCTTGTGGTAGAGAATCAGAAGCGCTGAGCAGCAGGCACAACTCTGGCCAAGGCCTTGGTGGCACCGTCCCAGGAGCTGGATCAGGTGAGTCCACCAAGCCATGCCTTATGGAAACACCTGGTGGGAGGTAGCGGATCCTCCACTGCCCGGTAAGCCCCACTGCACCTGCGCAGCCCTGCCCCCACCCCCACCCCCACCCCCCCCCCCACCCCGCCCCGGCATTGCCGGAGGTCAGGGTCCAGATTCGGTCCCCTAGTCAGGGTTATCAGTGGCCGGTGCGGGGTGTGGTCGACAGGACCCGCAGGGGGAGCCCTGGGCAAAGAACTGGGTCCTTCCGGGGCTCTGTGTGGACCGGCTCCGGGGGCGTTAGTGGGTCATGGGAACCAGGGTTCGGACCGCAGCACCTAGCAGCAGAGCGGGACAGCGAACAGTATCAGGAGATGGAATGGCCCCCAAGTGTGCTGGGCACCCACACATCGTCAAGCCGCCTTCGTTGAGGGAAAGGCAGGGAAAGGCAGAGCGGCTTGGGGACAATCTTTCAAGAAATAACCGATTCGGTATCTCGTTAACTGTCATGGGAAAAGCTGCATAGATGAAATCGGAGGCAGGGGCTGGGCCACCGCACCCGCACCGGACCGCGGTGCACGCAGCTTCTACGTCCCTCCTGGCCACCTCCTTCCGCTGCACCCTCCTCCTCTCCTTTGCCCTTTTATTAAGGGATGATGAGGATGACTCTTAGTGGAGAAGGACTGTCCTGAGAGCAGCCCAGGTCTCCAGGGCCAGGCCATTCCACAGGCTGGAGCTGAAACTACTGTGGTGCTCAGAGCCTGGGTGCAGTGAATGCTGTTTCCCACCAGAGGGCGCGCTCAGCACGTCGGCATCATGGGGCCCAGGGTGTAGTGAGCGCTGCTTCCTGCTAGAGGGTCCTCTGGGAGCGTGCACATGCTAGGTTGTTCTGTCAGACTCCCTTCTCAGATAATGATTAGGAGAGTCACAATTAGGTTTGCTTCAAATAAAACCTAAAAGGAAATAAGTTCCATGCATGTATTATAATGAAAGGACTTGAAAAACAATTAGTATTGACCTGTTTTCTGTATGTTAAAGGCTGCTTGGATAGGTGAGGTGAACTAATGTAGGAGAAGTCAGGGTGATAGGGTTAGAATGCGGTACAGAGAAAAATGAAAAGTAGTGAAAGTAATTTTCATGATAGCGAGTACATATGAACAGACATTCCATGTTAATAAGTAGGTGATGAATGGTTAAATTAATTCAGATCATT